ATTGGAGCCGAATTTTACCATATCTATTCCCAGATAATTTTTTGTACAAGTCATTCTGAATTGAGAAAGCTGGTCGAATGTCCACTGAAACGTCTTCACGAAAAATACAGCAAGTCCAGTTGCCTTGACTTATTTTGTACAGATATATTGTTTACTTATACTGAGGATTTGCCCCTTTGTGGGGGGGTTTTCTTTTTCTGGACTCTCATTTTCTGAATTATGAGGCTGACATTGTTCAGGGGTTATGACCTGCCACTTTCTCTTGGAGTAATAATCCCCCCCCCCCTTTCCCCTCTCTATCTTACCCTATACTCCTCTTCCTTTCTCTTCAGCCTGTGTTCTTGCTCTCCTTTCCTTATCTCTCTTCTATTTCTTCAAATGTTTCTCATCTCTCTTTTTCCTTCTTGTTTTCTGATGATGAGGCTGACTGGGTTGTATCCAATCTAGCTTCTTCTGGGCTTTTTACGTCATTATGGCTGGACAGAAGCCTTGTCCTTAATTGCTAGTTTTGTTATGTAGTGCGCACGTAGGTTGCGCACAATGTGTAGGTCTTTAGGACCACTTTGCATCCGCATATGTTCTGTATATAAAGCAACACTATACAGGCAGTCCCCGACTTACGAACAAGATAGGTTTGTTCTTAAGTTGAATTTGTATGTAAGTTGGAACAGGTACATTTCTGAGGTGTAACTCCAGCCCCCAAAAATGTTTTAGTTTTGGATAGCATAGGGAAGGGTTAACCACCTGTAACATTTATTTTGATGTCCTCACAGTGGCTCAAATCCCACACCATACTAACAAAACAACAACAAAAAAAAAAAAAAAATTTGCATGGAGTTCTACATTAAGTGCAACTTGGACAGATGTTTGTACAATTTCCTGTATGCACAGTACCAGACCCGGAAGAATAGGCAGGCACTCCTCGTCTGCACGTCTAACAACTTCATGTAATGTACAGGAGGTACAGTACTATGAACCAGACCCACTCCTCGTCTGCACGCCTAACAACTTCCTGTAATGTACAGGAGGTACAGTACTATGAACATCGGCATGAGCATGGTAGCATTACAACTAGTGGAACAGCCTGGGACCTCCGTTCGTAAGTAGGAGTCGTACGTAACTCAGATGTTCATAACTCGGGGACTGCCTGTATCATTTTCTCTTATTTAATGTACTATGTTATATTGATATAACTGCTGATATTGTCTACTGTTTATTATTCCTATAATGTGCTTGTTTTCTGTTTTTTCTACTGTTTGATGAATAAAGAATTTAAAAAACAAACCATACAAAAAAACTCCCGGAATGTAACTCAATTAACCCTTGCGGTGAGGCCACCTCCTCACTGCAAGCATTAACTGCTTATTTTTCACTGCAAATAAAAAAATTATACTCACCCGCTGCTGGACCAGTCTCCGCAGCCTCTTTCTCCTCTGGGCTCCGGCAGTCTAAGCCCCGCAGACGTCATCACATCTAATGTAGTCTATTCAGAGCGGAGGGGGAGAGGTGAGTGCTGACTACAGAGTACTGAGGATCAGGGGAATATTTCTTCTTTATTCTGGCCCCTAGAGAAAAATGAGCAGTTAACCCTTGCAGTGTAGGGGTAGCCCCACTGCAAGGGTTAACTTATTACATACCTGGAGTTCTTTTTTAAGTCTCCTCAGGAATCAACTCATCCAAAAAGGATTGGTGAGATTTATCATCCGCTGCAGAATGTTCAGTGGCAACCGCAGTGTAATTCTTAGAGGATTGTTAACTTGAGAGGCCCGTGGGACTGCTTCCTATGTTCTTGTGATCCTACATACTGCAAGTATGATAATGTGTGAAAACACCAAGGAGATCTTGGGTACCCTCATCCAGCTGCTGAAGCACGGAAGATTATATGGCCACAGTTGACTTCATCACTGTTAGGCAGCAGCAAGGACAAAGCAAGGTAAACTCGTGCTCCTTGGGGAGTGCTGAAAAGGCGGGAAGAGGCAGTGTCAGTGCACAGCTGTTAGCATTTACATTTTCAGAATATTAACCCTTTCAAGGTAGTAGTAGGTATAAACAATAGTGCTCTAAGCTCATAAAGAGCAAAGCCCCGCTTACCATAATCGTGTGCTTGAACAGCACTCTATGGTTCTGAAGCACGGTACCCAAGTACCAGAGGGTGCCACATCCAGAGCAGAGCAGTGGAAGGGGGTTATTCTTGGCTGTAGGCAACAGTTTAACCCTACTTAGAATTCTACTCTGTCCCTTAAAGAACAACTCCAGGCAGAATAGTAATTAACCCTTGCAGTCAGGCTCCCCCTGCACTGCAAGGGTTAATTGCTTGTTTTGCTCTAGGGTCTAACATTTTAAAAAAAAGATGTACTCAACTGATTATCGGTCCCGTCTGGCTGCTAGACCGGTCCCCACAGGCTCTTCCTCCCAGGGTTCCGGTGGTTTATTAAGTCTACTACAATATATTATTCATGAGGATGCCAAGGGACATTCCACTGTAGGGGGAGAGAGATAAGCAGTCTCTGCAACAGGATTGATGCTCGGGTGAGTATATCTTCTTTATTCGGTCGCCTAGAGAAAAAAAAAGTGACAGTTAAGCCTTGCAGTGTGGGGGTAGCCTACTGCAGGGGTTAGTTTTTACTCTGCTTGGTGTTGTTCTTCACTGAACATTGAAGAAAGGATAATTATAACTCAGCATCATTAAACCTACTTCCTGTGCGTCGAAAAGCCTCCTGAAATTACCTTCGGCAACCGGAGGAAGCAGTGATGTCACTCCTTTGGTCATGTGACAGTGCTGAGGTCAAGCAATTGGCTTCTAGGCCTGAGCTGTTTTAGAAGGGAGGAGGTCACATGCTTCACTATACCTGGAAGCATTAGGTAATGTCACAGGCTGACAAGGTGAAGATGATATAATGTCAATAATAGGTCTCCCAAAAGCTTATTCTCATCTAACCCTAATTTAAATGGATACACAAAACAAGGTTTTCTGGGGCTTTCTGAGATGAGAAGAAAAGACACAAAAAGGTTGAGACAGTTTATAAAGAATTTACAAAACTTTTATTGAAGTAGAAAACATAAAAAAAAATCCATGAACACCCATAAAAGCAAATCACAATTGTTAGCAGAGAATTATCAAAGTCTTGAGGAGCAAGACTAATTAGTTGCATCTATTTATACAAAACCCATATGGTATCAACCACTAGATGTTATAAAGTGATTCGACCAGTGTTCAATAATTCCCCCTTCAATGCGTTTCACGTCATCGCTTCAGGAAAGTTTCATCTCATCAGGAAAGTGAGTGAAGTAATTGTAGGTATTGTATTACAATGCAAGTATTTAGAAAAATCCTCTATTAAAACCCAGTAGGAGAAGCTGCCACCCCAACAAAGAACCCTCAGGCACAAAGAAAAGATAGATAACGGGAAAAGTATTCCTCCAATATCATGACAGGACAGGAAACTAGTGCTCCCAAAAAGCCAGCGAATTCCCTCGTATAGCTTAGTTGAATGACACTGACATAGATGTATTTCCTTGTCCGCACTTGGGATTTCCGCCAAACAACCTTATTGTGGTTTTTCTTCTCCTCTCAGAAAGCCCCATACAACTTTGTTTTGTGTATCCAAGGTGAAGGTGAGAGGAAGCCATTTACAGAGACACTGTCACTTTGACCTGTATGGATCTCATTAAGCTTGGCATGTGTTCTTAGACAAGGAGTGCTGGGAATGCTCTATTTTGAGAAAACAAAGCGTTTGGAGCTGTTATCTTTTATAATATATCGACACAGGAGAACCAAAATACCACAAAGGATAGACCAAATGCACCATTTTTTTAAAAATATGTTTTTATTGCACTTCAATTTAATATAATTTATACAATACATTTTATATGACAGTTATTAAATACAAAACCCGCAGATACATCATACATCAACCACTCACATAAATTCTTGCCAAATCTCCATCCCCTTTTCTTATCATTTAATCCAATCTTTCCATTCTTCCTCTTCTGGAGGGATGAGGGGAGGACCACCTTTGTAATCCACTTATATTATTCCTCCCCCTAATCCAAAAAACACCTCTGTGAAAAATATATCTCCCCATCCACCTCTCTATGGACGAAACTTCTATCCACTCCTCTTTAGTGTCTATTTCCTATTTGTTCTATTATGATGTCTTATAGACAAATATACTAGCTATTGTGTTACTCCCCTATTTCCTCTAATCTACTCTCCCCTCAATATTGTGATCCTATTCTTCGTATAACCTCTTGAATATCTTTCCCATCTTGGTCCATTAACCACCCTTATAAAAACCCCTATCTACTTATGTGTTGCCCTATCACCTTCCCCTGATATGGGTTCCCCCATTTCCCTACCCTCCCATTCTCCCATTCCTCCAGAAGACATTCTTCCCTCCTCTCTATTTCTGCCATTCATACAGGTCAAGACTCTATATTAACACTATATACATCCATCCAAGGATCGTATTTTGCCATTGGCCATATATTCATTACCCATCTCTAGATTCGTAATCTCATCTTCTCTATACCCCTATATATTCCTCAGACTGGCTATAGCTTACCCAATTTCTCCAGGTCTTATCAAAGCTGTCCTTTCTATCTGTATCCTTTGCACTTAATGCCTCAATATATCTTATTTCTTCCATTGAACTAACCCAGTTCTCTAAAGTTGGTGGTATCGTTGATTTCCATCTCTGCGAGATACAAACTCTGGCCGCAACTAGCATAAATCTTAAGATATCGCTTTTTATCTGGCCAAATGCACCATGTGCAACCAACTGATTGTTTTGAAATGACTATGAGGTTATGTTTTGGATGCAAATAGCACAGATCTTTAAAATGCAGACATATTGAGCTATTGGTAGTACTTGGCTGAATTATAAGTCCTGCTAAAGATGTTGCTGAAAGTGCAAAACCCCTATAAAATGGAATACTGAATGGTATTTTAATGGTGTGAGCTTGTCACAGTCTCTTTTTCTCTTGTTCAATCCATCTAGACGGAAGACCTCTGACACTTGAAGAAATATGGAACAGAGTTCAAGGCTGCTATAAACCTCGGCTGCTGCATGGACCTTGGGAAACAATCACACAGCAGGTAGGATGATTCACTGGTTCAGTTATGTAATCCTTGCACTAACATGCTAGAACACAGATAATAGTCATTTTGTTAGGGTGACCTATCCTTCTCATCATGAAGTGTTGTTGGTATTAATACCGTGGTGTTGAAAACAGACATAGTATAAAACCTTCCTGTTGGTAAGGTAGATTTCAGAGACTACATCATGAATGGAGATTTACTAGGGGGAACATTTTCTGTTTCAAAATAACAGATGAGGTTTCAGCATGCTGAAAATGTATCAAATGTGTATCATCATATTTACAACCTAGTCATGAGCAAAACTGTCCAATTTTTCGTTGAAAATTCTCAGCAAAATGGACTGATTTTTCTTCAACATTTTGACAAAACGCTTTCGAGTTAATGGGAAGTTGAAATTATTTTGGTTTAATTAGTTTTTTGGTGTTCTAAAGAGCTCTAAATAGCTCTTGTATGTTTGTTTTTGTGTGAAATGTCGGCAGCTGAAACATATCGGCCGAAAATGGCACTTTGGGCAAAATGTCGAAAGTACCATCTTTCGGCCGAATTTGCAGTGCATCCATAATTTCTCTCCTCCCCTCTGGGCACTGGTCTATGTCCCCTCTGACACAGCATAGTGTCCAGCGGTGAGAAGAGAAACGTTCAGGTGTCCGAGGCAGGGAGGAGAACGATTTGAGCCGTGATGCCACAGGAGGCTGAACTCTTCTCCCAACTCTTCTCCCAACTCTTCTCCCAACAAAGCTTAGCTTCTTGTGACAGATCAGGATGGAGAGCGGTGTGGGGACAGAGACAGCTGTCAGAGGAGACTGAGCCAGCAGTGCGGGGGATGAGTCAACTGTCAAAAGTGGGTACAAGCACTCAGCAAGCAGTAAATAATTGAGGACATAGAGGACATAGTATGTTTACTGTGTCCCCAATTAGGAATGAACAGGCAGTGCTCTACATCACTTCCTGTTCATTCATGATTGTGGACATGGTAAACATACTATCTCCACAGTTTATGAATGAACAGAAATACTCAGGGGAAATTTATCAAAACTGGAGCAAACTGAATCTGGAGCAGTTGCCCATGGCAACCAATCAGCATCTCTCTTCAGTTTACCCAGGTAAGATCTGAAAATGAGAGAGAGAAGCTGATTGGCTGCAGTGCAAATCTGCTCCAGATTTTGTCTGCTCCAGTTTTGATAAATTCCCCCCTCAGTATAGAGGATTCCTGTTCATTCATAACAGGGGCTGCAGAAAAAGTGATTGAGGTGTGCTCAATCTCTTTTTCTATTTTAAAAGGGAAATATTAGGGGTCTGTTTAAACCCCTGATATTTCCCCAAAGCCACTGACAGTAAAAAAAATATACATATATTTATTAAAAAATAAAAATAAAATATAAATTGTAATTTCGGTGCACCTCTATATGTTAAGATATATATATTGATAAGTTGATAAGTTGATATTTGCACTCTCTTTCCCTATTGTCTTAAACAAAATATGCTTAAAAAAGGTGAAGTGTCCAAAAACATTTCTGTTAATTTTTTACTCTGTTTTTACTCCGGTTCTGTCTTTTTTTTATTCAGGACATCATACATGATCATAATTACTGATCATAATCACACATGAGGGTGTATTCATAAACCATTTGCACAGTGTCCTGAAGTGGCTATACCAAGACCATGACTGCTGCTGCAGACGTGGTGTTTGTATTACAACAAACTGTGTAACCTTGCGCCAATATGATATTCAGCAGCAGGCACTAATAGTACTAGAATAACCTATTAGGATTCTAAAGTAATACATAAAGTATGTATGTGCCACACTTTCCTAAATAATGACAGAAGTATAATATTAAATGTGAACAAACCACAAAATTAAACACAAACAATACATAAATACAACGAATGCGTCTGTTTATCAAACAACATGTGCATCACAAAAAGGAAAATTCCATCCACAAACCCAGTGTATAAAAGTTCATATATATCTCAATACAAAAATCAACCCAAATAGAAATAACCACAAATCATACGGAGTCGTTCCACTACCAGATGATGACCACGTGAACACCTAATAGAGTGCTGATCACCTTCGTGACCTTGGGCTCAGACCTGAACAATAAAGGTCCCCACACACCTTACGATAATCGTACAATAATCGCAGGAAATCCCGCGATTGTACGATTATCGTAAGGTGTGTGGAAGCCGTGCGACCTCTACTACTGTAAGGTCGCACGACTTTTACTTACGGACATGTTCGAAAACCCGCCGAGCATCGTACGATGTTTGGCGGGTTTGTGGCATGTTCGTACGATAAAAGCCATACGGGCCGGTGTGCGCAAGCGCACACTGCCCGTTCGGCATTGCGGTCATCGGAAGCCCGCCCCTCAGGGGGCGTGGCTTGCGATCATCGCAAGTACGATCTGCCTATGCAAGATAGGCAGATCGTACGTTTTTTTTAAGTACCTTACAACCATCGCATGACAAAAGTCTTGCGATGGTTGTAAGGTGTGTGCCCAGCCTAAGCCTGAACAACACTGTTCCCTCTTTGTTGTAGAGCTGGGCGGGGATCTTGCCTTAATGGAGTCCACTGGTTATAATCCTCTTATCTGACCACACAAGTGTTCCCAGGAAGCCAGATACCAAATTATCTCAGTCCCAAATAAAAAGAATTACAGACCATAGTGTACACCGTAAAAAAAAACCATAAAATCTTTATTTAACCACCTGCTGTCCGGCTGTTGTAATTAAACGGCCGGACATCGGCTTCTTGAATGCAGGTGGGCGTTTTTAACGATAAGTGGCGCGCACGAACGGGAAATCGGCTTTCAATGTAAACGTTCAGGCGTCTGTAGAGACGCCCGATTGCTTGTAATATGCTGCTGGCGATCCCGAGCTCCGCTGTGCCCGGTGCGAGCCCGGGACCAGCACAGCAGCTCTGCATCCGGAGATCAGTACATGAGCTCCGTTTGATCTCCTCCTCCTCGTCGGAATGCAGGAAGTGATGTGTATTACATCACTTCCACATTCTCTGTCACTCCGGTACAGAAACCGGAGAGAAGCTTGTGAGAGCTTGTGAGAATGTATTTACCTGAACTTGACCTTGTTTCAGCCTCTTACACTCCATTACAGCAGAGCTGAAATGGGAGAGGAAGAAACGGCACAAGGAAGCATTCAGTTCATGAGCATGCTGATAGAAAGAGAAAGCAGGGTGACAGAACTCCTTATTGTGTTGCTTCTCTTCATTGTTCAGAGAATAGTCTGGGGTTGGTGCAGAACGACCTGGGCTTGGAGGAAGTAGTTTGAATCATGCTGGCAATCATAGTGAAAACTTCTAGCGGCAGAAAAAAAGTACTTTGGGGGAATCTTTGAATTGAAGGTGAATATTGCAATGCAGCAAAAGCTTCTATTCATTTTTATCTTTTGTTATTTTTGGCTGGAGTTCTGCTTTAAGTATGCAGATTAGAAGTATTACACTAAGGCTCCATTCACACCTGAGCTTTTACTTAACATGCGTCGAGCGCACAATAAAGTCTGCTTTGATGCACGTTAGCAAAACACGCAAAATAAAAGAATCGTGCTTTCAGCTCCATTTTTATTAATAATAATATTTATTATTATTATTAATAATGGCACTGAAAACGTAAAACATATGACGCAGATTGCACTTCTTTTCTGCATATGCCGCATGTTCAGGACCCCATTGAAATCAATGTGTATGCATGGCAAGCGCTGAAAAGAAATGTACATAAACGTGTGCGAACGCAACACACGTTCACGCTACATTCAGGTATGAATGCAGCCTTAGGGGTATATTTGGGTGTATTTATAAAATAGAGTTAAAAGCTATTTCCTCATTTTCCTCGTCGCCATCTAGTGGCCATAATGAGGTGCGCATCTAAAAGTCAGATGTTCGCAGATTGAACAGCTCTGCAGAGGTTGTATAAAAACACCCCTTGATTTACTTTGTCCATGCTTGCGCTTGACCAGGCACCTAGCATTTGCAGATGGTCAGAAATGTCAGTTCCTTATTGCTCTCCTTTGAACTGACTACATTACATCATTACAGTGCAGTTTAAGAAAATATATACATTTGTAAAGTTTGAACCAGTATTTGTGGTGTCCCCATGCCTCTAACATACACTTGTTGAAGAATCTAAAAATAATTGTATGTGTGCTTCTCATGTTCTGTTACATGTAAGCATTGCTTTCTGTAAGCATGGTGTTCTAGAAGGGGTACAGACCCAAAACTTTTTCACTATATTGTGGGCTACACATTAGCTTCGCCTCCATCAAAGGCAAAAAGGAAAAGTGTTAATTGGTTACAATTTGTGATTTTTAACATCCTGGTTTTAAAACATTATTCTGCTTTTCCATTAGGCCAGTCTTCTTCTTAACAAAAAAAAAAAACTCCTTTAAAAGCATTTACCTGTACACTTTACCGAATCTGATTTTAAATGAATTCGCAACAATGTCTCTCAAGGTAGCACTAATTTCACTAATGCCCGCATTGATGGTACTTCAGATGAACAGTACACTTAGCAGGAGTGATTGAAACGCTCTCTAACATCAGCCTCCCCTTCCCATTCATCCGGCTGCACGCTAACATCTAGCTTTCCCTTTATCTGCATCTGTTTTAAATTGCACAAAATCAATTACAAGCACACAGCTGCTTAGCAAAACTTTGAAATGTCTCTGCGAGTCTCCTTGGGTATTCCTTGATAGCTTGTAGCAACATCAATTTTCTGCACCTGGAAAGATGTACACAGGCTGCGCCGAAATCAGAACAGACAAGGAAATGTAATTGTATTTATTGTTACCTCTGAATGGATGTCAGTGGAAAGCATGGCTCCTGTTTTTAAAGATGACACTGCGAAAGGGTAATATGTTAATAAAGAGCCTGGCGGTATCAGGAGAGTGATGCTTAAACTGCGCATTGTTTGCAAACACAAGCTCTGAACATACACAGGATTACTGAGAAGCTATGGAGATTTCAGGGGGAAAAAAAAGAAATA